TGGGGGATCACAGGCAAGCAATGCCATGCCCGGCTTGCTTCACCTTACACTTTAAGGAGGCTTTCAGTTTCAATACACAAAGAAATCTACAAATAGTTGATAAGAAGCTCGAAGCAGCAGATCAATGACGTCATGTTCAACTTTCATCTTTAGTCTCATATCCTAGAAACTGCCTTCCCCACAGTTCTGTCAGATTCCAGGCTACCTTCGAATTTCACAGGATCTGTAATCACAGTATTATCTTACACTAAGAATCCCATGTCACTGAACAAGGGAAAAAACAAAACGTGCCAAGAAGAGATACGAAGGCTGTTGTTCTGTTATTTCTGGTCGGCGATTTTGCTTCTTTGCTTTCTTTTGGTGACAGGGTCTCTCTTTCTTGTAGTCTAAGCTGGCCTTAAACACACTAGGTAACTCAAATTAACTTCAAACTCCTGGCCATACTCCTGCCTCGGCCTCCCAAATGCCTGGGACCATTCCAAGCACGAAGGTTATTTTTAACCCAAGAAATCAGGGGATAATTACGGTTTATAAAATTTATAAAGGGCAACATAGGAAATATGCCATGTTTACTCTGCCACTAAAAAGAGGTCACCATCGCGTCTCTTAACTTCAATCTCTTCGCGATCTTGTAGCCGAGGTCCCCTTTTGAGGCTTCTGAACCACTTCAAATATGACCGCCTTAGCTTCATTCTCCCTCGCCGCTGTGACGTCATAGCAGACTTCCTGCCCATTTCCAAAATGGCCTCTCCCGCAGCTTCAAAGTTTTGAGTGCGCATGCGCGAAAGTAAGCGATCTCTTCCCGGCAAAATGGCGATGAGTTTAATATGTGGCCGCCGGGAGCTTCTGCGCCTCCTACGGCCCCAGCGTTCGGTAAGGTTGCGTCTATACAGCCGGCATGCTTCCCTGTTCCTGTCACCTGAGTTGAGGTCACTGTAACCTAAGTGTCGTGACCTCAGGTCGCGTGAGGACGCAGCAGGGTTACGTCCAGGGGTTGGTGGCCCTGTTTCTCTTAGCTGTCTGGGAGCTGTCTTCGACCCTGAGCCCTGACCTCTGAGCCCCATTGCCTGGCTTCAGGAACGGGGTGCGAGAGACCAGGGCCCGGGCTGCACCCTGCATGCTCCGGTGCACGCCTTCGGGGCCTGCAGACTGCTCGAGCAGAATTGCAGTGCCCCGACTGCTGCAGCAGGCTGTCTGCGGGACAGCGGGGACGCTGGGACTCAAGGGGTTCCCTTCTCCTTTCACACGGTCAGTTCCACAGCGTCGCAGGGTCCCTGAAACCGCTGGCCACCGAGCTCCTCATCGCAGCCCGCCTGGGTAGTGGGCGGCCACACTCTGCTCTTCTCGCCGCCCTAAGTCCTCGCTGCATCAGTACTTCTGCCACCTTCTTTGCAGAAGCCCAGGTAAGAAGTCCCCACGGATGCCAGGAGAGCAGCTTCTTGGCCAGTTTCTTTTGTTCTGTGTTTTTGTCATTTTGAGATAGAGAATGTGTAGCAGAGTTTTTTTTCACACTCCACGCGGTTCCTAATAATATTAGCCTCTCCGTTTGGAATAGAAATAGAGTCTCAGTAATTCAGCAGGAAAACTCTTGAAAGTACATGAGAAATTTGTGGGGCTGGTGAGATGGCCCTGCAGTGCAAATGTACTTGCCTTGCAACTCTGGGAACTTGAGTGCTAATCTTGGGACCCCAGTAAAGGTGGAGCCAGTTGTGATAGAGTCCCTGGAATCCCAGCACTTGGGAGGCAAAGGCAGACAGATCTCTGAGTTCAAAGCCAGCCTGGTCAACATAACAAGACAGGGCTACATAGTGAGACCCTGTCTTAAAAAAAAAAAAAAAAGTAACCAAGCAGTGGTGGCGCTCACCTTTAATCCCAGCACTCAGGAGGCAGAGGCAGGCGAATCTCTGTGAGTTTGAGGCCACCCTGGTTCACAAGAGCTAGTTCCAGGACAGGCTCCAAAGCTACAGAGAAACCCTGTCTCGAAAAATAAAAAATAAAAGAAGTAAAGGAGAAAAGCGAAAACTGGCTCCACAAAGTTGTTCTCTGACTTCCACACATGCCATGGCGTGCATGCCTACCCACATCATGCATGCACAATAATACTAAATTAATTTAAATTTTGTGTTATATCTAAGACACTGATTACCAGAGTGGTGGCAAGCCAATAATGTGAACTGTGATTATGGGTGTGTGTATTTACATACTAATATTTGTGATTCTGTGAATACTGTTTCTTAGAAAACTAGGTTTTGTTGATTTTTTTTTAAGATTGATTTTATTGTATGTATATGTGTGTGACTGTGTACATGTGATCATGGGTGCCCATGGACACCCAGAAGAGAGCAATAGAGACCCTGAAGCTGAAGTTATAAGTGGTTGTGTGCTGCCTGCTACAAGGGTGTTGGGAGCTAAAACTGGATCCTCTACCAGAGCTCTTAACCCTTGAGCCATCTCTTGGGGATATACTCTATAATAGAGCTCTTGGTTAGCATGCACAGGGCCAGCCTGAGCTGCAGAGCAATCAAGATCCTGCCTCCAAAACTCACCCCCACCGTCCCAAAAAAAGAAATTGAAAAAAAAAAAAAATTGAGTTGACTTAAAAGAGGAGCTGTGGGCTGCGGACTAACTTGGTGGTCTGTGTACTTGTCAGATGTGGGTGGGGCCCTGGATTCAGTGCCCAGCACAAAACAACAAAAAGAATCCCAAGCGCTGTAGTTTCAGAATATGAAAAGGATGGAATATCCCAAAGTCTGGGAAGCGGGACATGAAAAGCAATCTCCCTGCCTCCCCTGGGGGAAACCCTGAGACACTCTAGTTCTTATATACTAGTGGTAAAAGCAGGAGCGTGCAGACCTCCTTGGACATCTGGAAGAGCAAGAAGTCAAAGCAAGAAAATGTAACCCAGAACTGGTTAGTATCAGGGAACCTTGCCTTTTGTGCGTCCCACTTATGATGATACTTGGTCTCCTTTGTCACAGGTCCAAGCACCCCCTGTGGTTCCTGCTACCCCCGCCCCTCCTGCGGTACCTGAGGTGGCCTCTGGAGGAGCTGCAGATGTGGCCCAGGGCGCTGCAGAGCAGAGCTTCGCTGAGCTGGGACTTGGGTCCTACACCCCTGTGGGACTCATCCAGAACCTCTTGGAATTTATGCATGTTGACCTAGGCCTGCCTTGGTGGGGGGCCATCGCCACGTGTAAGAGTGCATCCTGAGGAGGGCAGAGGAGTGGGGGCAGAACCTCAACGATGGCAGTTCTGTCAGTGGATTAGAGACAGGTGCAGACAGCTAAAGGTCAGAAAAGTAGATAATTCAAAGAGAGATAATACGCCCAACCTTTATTTCCTAAAGAGCATTGGAAAGGCAGGTGTCATGTATGATTCAAAACATACAGCTATTTGAATGTGACCCGGGAGTTGGAGTAGGGAATCATATATATTAAAAGTAATGAAGCTACCCTGACTTAGCAGAATAGAAGGTTGGGTCAGGTACTTACACTCCCAAATTAGAAAGCTGTTCTCATTGCTCTTAAAAAAGCTGAAACTGTGTTTTCGTCCTGTTTCTTCCTGGGGAGACCAGTAGGACTTTTTATCATTAAAAACTAGGTTAAGTGTAGAAATGTAGCTCGGTGATAGAGCACTCGCCTGTTGTGCCCTAAACCAGCCCGGGCTGCATAGTAAGACCCCAGTGCTTGGGAGGTCAATGGGATGCAGGCGTCCTTAGTTAAATAAAGAGTTCAAGGCTAAGTCGCTGTTGCAGTGTTGTGCAGGGACACCATGATCACAGCAACTCTTATAAAGGGAAGCATCTAACTGGGGTCTTGTTTACAGTGTCAGAGGCTTAGTCCTTTGTCGTCATGGTGGGGAACATGTTATCATGAAGACAGGTGTGGAGCTGGAGAAATAGCTGAGAGCTCCATCCTAATCTGTAGGCAGACAAGAGAGAGAAGTCACTTTCTGAAACCTGAAAGCCCACCCTCAGTGACACACTTCCTACAACAAGGCCACACCTCCTAATGCCACTCAAATAGTGCCACATCCAATAAGTAAGCATTCATATATGTGAGACTTTGGAGGCCATGCCTGAGCCTCATAAAATTTAGCCTTTAAAAGGGTTTTTAAAAGCCAGGTGGTGGTGGCGCACGCTTTTAATCCCAGCAGAGGCAGAGGCAAGTGGATCTCTGTGAGTTTGAGGCCAGCCTGGTCTACCAAGCAAGTTCCAGAACAGCTAGGACTGTTATACAGAGAAACCCTGTCTTAGGAAAAAGAATTTTCAAGAACTTTGAGCTAGATGTGGTGGTATATACCATTAATACCTGGAGGAGAGGGGCGGAAGGCAAAGACTGGAGGATCTCTGTAAGTTTGAGGCCAGCCTGAACTATATAACAAGTTCCAAGCTAGCAAAGGTATTAGAAACCCAGGGAAAAGGGGGTGCTGGAGATGACTCAGTGGTTAAGAGCACAGCTGCTTTTGCAAAGAACCCAGGTTCTATTTCCAGCACCCACACGGTGGCTCACAGCTGTCTAACTCCAGTTCAAGGGGATCTCATGCCTTTTTGTCCTTCATGGGCATACATACCGACAGGCAAAACACCCATACACATTAAATAATACTTTTTTTTTCTGTATGTATGCGTGTTTGTCTGGATGCATGCCTGTGCACCATGTGTGTGCAAGGCCTGGATGCAGCCAGCTTGCAGCTGTGAGGCAAGTGCTCTACCACTGAGCCAAATTCTCAAGCCCTTGGTTTTTGAGGGTTTTTTGTTTTTTTAAGATTAATTTTAAGCTGGGCATTGGTGGCACATGCCTTTAATCCCAGCTCTCAAGGGGCAGAAGCAGGCAGCCTGGTCTACAAGAGTTAGTTCCAGGACAATCTCCAAAGCTATAGAGAAACAAAAAAAAAAAAGATTTAATGTTATGCATGCACTAAATTTAATATTAAAAACCTCATGAATGTGTGTGCATGCATGCATTTGCCTGTATATCTGTACACTTACCTGCAGAAGCCTGGAACTGGGGTTACAGGCAGTTGTGAACTACCTCACAAGGGTACTGGGAACCAATTCAGGTCCTCTGCAAAAACAGCAGTCACTCTTAACCACTGAGCATTCTCTCCAGCCCACCTCCTTGGTTTTTTGAAGTAAGGTCTTACTGTGTGGGACAGTAAGACTTCACACTCTTGATACTCTTGGCCTCTCTGGTGCAGAGATTAGAAGCATACCTTCCGTTCCTGGTTTCAGTCCCTTCCGTTTATGCTAAGTATATAAACAACTTTCACATGCCTGTGTGTTCTTTGAGGGATCCAGTGAACCCACTTCTTTCTAGTCTTTGACCCTCAGCTAAGATGACCTCAGTGTAACTGCTGGTGATGGCATTGCTGCATCAGCTTTTCTCATCATACTTGATCTTCCTGCATTTGACACACTAGAGCTTGAAGACTTACCCTTTGGCTTTCGTGACAATCTTTCCTGTCCTCCCCCTAATGTCCTGTTTTCTAGCTACACTTGCCTAACTCCACCCTTCTTCAGGATGGTACTCCAGGTTGTGTCCTTGCTTCCACAGATAGCGTAAACTAAGCCTTTGTTGGTGTGGCCGGTAGTCAGGAGTGTGTAAGGAAAGAGGAAAGGTTAAGCCGCCAGAATGTGGTGGATTACTACTTTAGGGACTTGTAAAAGTGACTGGCCAGCTTTGTTCTAAGCTGGGTATAATGGCAAATAACTGTGCTTACAGCACTAGGGAGGCTGAGAGAGAAGGCTCATGAGTTCAGGGCCAGCTCTATACACCAAGACCCTGTCTCAGAAAATAAAATCATGCTTTATCCTGAGACTCAGTTATGCAGAGGTGCTGAGCAGGGTGCAGGTAAGGTAGATGTTCTGCCTTTATCAAGGGTGACTTCATTTGTGTATTTTCGTCTGCAGTGAACAGTTGAGGAAAAGATCTTCACTGATGATAGAAAGTTTGGAGCCTATTGAAATACAAAAGCAACGTTTGCTTGCTGGCAGAGGGTAGTGTTTTTTTCAGAGAAACAAAAAAAAAAATCCCTGCTCATCTGCTTAAAGAAGTTATGCTGAACTTCTGTGGCAGCAGTCTGAGCCTTGAAGAGCTGGGTGGACCCTGTCCTTACTTCTGGGCCCCTTGGGTGACAGCCTCAGTGTGGAAAAGACTGGAATAAGACTTAGAGCGAGGACCTGAACCCTTCATTCTTCTAGCTGCAGGCAAGTTTTCATTTCACTCCAAGCCCATGTTGTATTTTCCAGGTACGGTCCTCGCCCGCTGCCTCGTTTTCCCACTGATTGTGAAGGGCCAGCGAGAAGCAGCCAAGATCCACAACCACATGCCGGTGATACAGAAGTTTTCCACCCAAATCAAAGAGGCCAAGTTGGCAGGAGACCAGGCTGAGTGTGAGTCGGCTCCAGGGCAAGTGTGGGAGAGAAGCACATTTGATGTGAGACATTGTGCTGTGGGAGAGGGGCGGGTGCTGCAGTTGGGTGGTTCTGGCAAATGTAAAGGTTTATCCTTTCCTTGGGAAGGCCGTGGGCCCAAGATGAAGTTGTTCACCTTCACTGATGTCACTTAACCCAGTGACTCATTCCCCTCCCCTCCCAGTTTACAGGGCCACCATAGAGATGACACGTTATCAGAAAAAGCATGATATTAAACTCTTCAGACCGCTCATCCTACCTCTCACGCAGGTGAGCACAACTCTTCTTCTGCTTATCCATCCCGAACCCAGCAAGCTGCCTCCTGCTTCCCATGTCCCAAGATCCCCAGAAAAGCAGGGGATGGTGGTGTGCATGGCTTTTAGTAATGGTGTTATGAAAATGTACCCGTTAGATGTGTTGACTGTTTATCCTGTGTAACAGGCCCCCATCTTCATCTCCTTCTTTATTGCCTTGAGAGAGATGGCCAACCTGCCTGTGCCCAGCCTGCAGACAGGTGGGCTCTGGTGGTTCCAAGATCTCACGGTATCTGATCCCATCTACGTCTTGCCACTGGTAGTCACTGCCACAATGTGGGGTGTCCTTGAGGTAAGCTGGGGCTAGCCAAGTGTGAGACCCGCCAGTTACAGGGAGAAGGGATGAAGGGTATGCAGAATGTACCTTCCATTCCCTGGAAGAGTAGAGTTGACGGGTGAGAGATTGGAATTCACTGTTCTTTTCCTCGACCCGTTTTGGGCAGCTAGGTGCGGAGACGGGCGTGCAGAGCTCTGACCTCCAGCTCATGAGGAATATTATCAGAGTGATGCCGCTAGTGGTCTTGCCCGTGACCATCCACTTCCCCTCGGTAGGTAACGGCTTTGTGCTGCCTCCAAGTCCTTCTGCCTCGTGCCTCTGAACAAGCTGACTCGGCAGAGCTCTGAGCATCTTCTCTTCGCTCACGCAGGCAGTGTTCATGTACTGGCTCTCCTCCAACGTGTTCTCCCTGTGCCAAGTGGCCTGCCTTCGGATTCCAGCCGTGCGCACAGTGCTTAAAATCCCCCAGCGTGTCGTACACGACCCTGACAAATTGCCTCCTCGGGAAGGCTTCTTGAAGAGCTTCAAAACAGGTAAGGGGTATCAGGCGGGCGGTGTGGTGCAGTGAGGAAACCTGTAATCCCAGCAAGGAGGGAGCCGAAGCAGGAGTGCACTGCCTAGCCAGCCAAGCCTCCGTAGTGGGCTCCAGACCAGCCTGGCCTATGGAACTTGAGACTTTTCTCAACAAGGAAAGGGTGGGTAGGGAGGAGGGGAGGCGGGGGTCAGAACCAGGAGAAAGTGGCCTAAAAATAAGAGAACTTCTCTCCTCACACAGGCTGGAAGAACGCTGAACTGGCACATCAGCTCCGAGAGCGTGAACAGCGAATGCAGAAACACTTGGACCTGGCTGCCAGAGGTGAGGAAGCCCTTCAGGCTCGATTCTCTCTTCCATTTCTTCTTTCTCTCTGTTGACTGAGATTTGTTCTCTCTTCTCCCAGGTCCCTTACGACAGACTTTTACCCACAACCCTCTGCTACAGCGTGATCCGAGTCACCCTCCCAACAGCACCAGCAGCAGCCCCAGCAGCAGCAAGCCAAAGTCAAAGCCTTGGAATGACACTCTCGGCTGACTGCTGTCCTGTGCTCAGTCTGACAAGAACTGCATCTTCACAGACTCCTGCACACACACTTGATGCTGTGTCCTCGCCCCAAACCTGGGAACTCCAGGATTTGGAAGTGTCTGTTTTACAAATTGTTTCTACCACAGACTGAAGAGACTTCCTCCTGTGTATAAAAGAGCACTGGAGAGGCAGGCAGCCTTCTCATCCAGAGCTAGTAAAAGTCTGTCTTGTCTGGGCTTCTTGATGTTTGTTAAATCCGGAAGGGGAATGGTGCTTCAGAACCTCACTCGCTCTTGCTCTTGGGAAGGAGCGTTGGGTTTGAACCTGAGCTTCAAAGCTCAGACCTGCCTCCCACATTGTCCGTCTGCATCTGCGTTTACACTGTAGACATACGATAGGCAAGACTGTATGGCGGTCTCTTGTACTGGGGACTGACCCTACATCTCCAGCCCTGAGCCATGTTTCCTGACCTACCCCCCCAAGATTACCTATACAGTTTCTTTAAGAAGTAGATGTGCTGGAATTCTGAGTGGTGATTTGGAAGAATGAAGGGGGAATGGCTCAGCAGGTGAGAGTTCAAATCCCCAGCACCCTTGTGAAAAGCTGGGCGTGGCCCTGTTCTTACATCTCTAACAACCCCAGTTCTGTGGGGTGTGGAGACAGGAGGATTACTTGGGCTTGCTGGCCATCAGCCTAGCTCCAGGTTCAGTGAGAGACCCTGTCTCTAGGGAATAGGGTGGAGAGTGACAGACAGGACACCTCCTGTCTTCCGGCCTCTGCACATGCACCACACAAGAAAAGGGGAAGTTCTCATACACTAGCTTCTTACGTTTATAACACTGTAGTGTGACCGTTCACGTGTTTTTATAGAAATTGGCTTTATAACCTTTTGGCAGCTGGCTCCTGAGGGAGAACTTGACTCATTTACTTTCCTAGTCTGTCTTTAAACTGCTTAAGTACCCAGAGTCACTAAGTAGAGTAAAGCCACTCAGACTGTAGGAACATAACCTTTTTATTGTTTTGCAACCATGACAGTTTTGTGTCCCTCTAAAGGAGACAAGTTTGGAGCATTGTTGGTCCTTGTAAAGGAAAAGAGGAGTGGGTAGGCACACCCAGGCACTTCCAGAACCAGGCTCCAGAGGTGGCCTGCTTCCTGCCACAGTCTGCATTATCCCCTTATAAAGTCTGAAACAACACATAGCAAAACAAATAAATTAATTTTCATCCCTCAAAAGCAAGTTCAAAGTTGAAGCTGCCGAGACTGGGCTCCTGGATGGGGACCTCCAAAGAGGTCCTGGCCAGTGGGACGTAAGAAGCACCCGTTTGTCCACATCTCAGAGTTCCAAGCTCTACTTAGACTTGCGACCCTGTTGCTTGGGCATCTCTCCATCTTCCAAATCCAGTTCTGTAGCAACCGACATGCAGAGGATCTGGAGGTACCGTGTGGTGGAAGCTACAAAGAGAAATCTGAGTTAAAACTGGAAATGGGTCCAGGGGGCTGAGTTCAGTGGCACCAAAGGGGGCCGGGCCTGAAACAAGTGATTCAGCTAAGCCGTATGGTTAATAACCGGTGCCAGTTGTGGTAAGGGGGACTAGGTCTGCAGGAAACGGCAAGCAACAACAAAAAGCCCAGTCTATTGAGGTAGCTGAGCAACTGGGAGATCCAGAGCTTACCTACGATCCTGCGAAGGCAGAGAGGCCGCTTGTGCTCGGGGACCCTGACGATGAGGAAGTAGAAGGGCAAGCCTGAGAGGGCAATGGCGATGCCGATGAGGGAGTTGATGGTGTCGCTGTAAAGCGGGACGGCCACCAGGAAGATGGTGCAGAGGCAGAAGACAATGGGGAAGAAAAGGCTGAGCTAAGGGGACAGAGAACAACTGTGAGTTAGCCCGGCATGCTCTTGGCTGTTGTTTGGAGGTGGTCTCACTTGGTGGCCCAAACCCATAAACCCATAACCCTGCCTCAGCCTGAATGCTAGGATTGTAGGCATGGGTTGCTACACCCAGCTTGGAACTGCCGACAACCTAGATAGTCCTAACCCCCTGAAGATGCAAACACTGAAGGGCTGGAGATAAAACGCCGTGGTACAGCACTTGCTGGACATAAGTACTCGGCCTCCTTTCTGTCGTGTGCTGCGGGCACCGCCAATTCCTAGCACTGTTTGTTGGTTACCTTAGGGCAGTGGGGTGAGACTGCAGAAGGTCCAACCAAGGCCTGTGCAAGACAGGATACACCACTGAGCTGGATCCCCAGTCCTTGCTAGGTTGTTTGTTTGTGGGGTTGTTGGTTCACTGGCCTTTACATGCTACCATGTCTGGTACCAGAGGAAATCAGAAGATACTGGATCCCTTGAAACTGGAGTTACATTTGTGAGCCTTCATGTGGGTACAGAGAAACCTGAATCAACTACTAAAGCCATCTCTCCAGCCCCTGTTGTTAGTTTTTTAAAGATTTATTTATTTTCAGCCAGGCAGTGATGGCGCATGCCTTTAATCCCAGCACTCTCGAGAAGCAGAGACAGGCGGATCTCTGTGAGTTCGAGGCCAGCATGGTCTACAAGAGCTAGTTCCAGGATAGGCTCCAAAGCTGCAGAGAAATCCTGTCTCAAAAAAAAAAAATCTATTTTCATTTTATGTGTCTGAGTGTTTTGCCTGCACATATGTGTGCCTAGAACCCACAGAGGATCCCCTAGAACTAGAATTACAGACAATTGTGAGTTGCCATAAGGGCAGTGGGAATCAAATCCAGGTACTTTGCAAAAGCATCAATTGCTCTTATCCACTGAGCCGTCTCTCCAGCCCAACTCTTGATTTTGTTAAATGCAAATTTGGAACTTATTTATTTATTATGTACACCATATTTTGCCTGCATATAACCTGCAGGCCAGAAGAGGGCACCAGATGTCATTACAAATGGTTATGAGTCACTATCTGGTTGCTGGGAATTGAACTCAGGACCTCTGGGAAAATAGCCAGTACTCTCAACCTCTGAGCCATCTCTCCAGCTTTGTTTTTTTTGAATTGCAGATACATGCCACTGTGCCTGATGTAGGGAAAGGATAAACTCTTGGAAGGCGCCTGCAGCAGCAGTACTAGCTGCACTAAATGGAACAAAGGTAGGGTAAGGGAAATGGATTACCTTGAGAGGGCGAGGCCGGTCAGGTTCCTTCCAGCGCAGATAAAGCTGACCCACAATGGAAAGCCCCACAAAGAACCAGTAACTGAAGCTATAGTAGTTAATGAGCTGGAAAATGTCCTCCACACACAAGTAGAACAGTGCCAAGATGCCCTGTTGATGCAAGTCCAAGTCAGTTCCTCTCAGGCCCTGGTTATTCTAAGTGCCTTCTACCATGCTTAGCCCCTCCCAAGTCCATCCCAGGTCACATCTTCACAGTCTCAACGTTTGCCTTTTGCTCCAAACCCTGCAGCACCCTTGGTACTTCATTCCTCCTCTATTAAAAGAAACTTGTCTTTAGTCAGGTGGTGGTGGTGCATGTCTTTAATCCCAGCACTAGGGAGGTAGAGGCAGGTGATTCTCTGTGAGTTCAAGGCCAGTCTAGTCTATAGGAGTTCCAGGGCAGCCAGGGCTACACAGAGAAACCCTGTCTGAGGCAGGGTGTGTGTGTGTGTGTGTGTGTGTGTGTGAAAAGACAGGTGTGGTAGCACATGCCTTTAATCCTAGCCCTCAGGAGAAAGAGGCAGGCTACTTCACTCTGTGAGTCCAAAACCAGTCTGGCCTACAGAGTGAGTTCCAGGGCAGGAAGAACTGCTATACAGGGCTGGAAAGATGGCTCAGAGGCTAGGAGCACTGGCTGCTCTTCCAGAGGACCCCGGTTTAATTCCCAGCACCCACATGGCAGCTCAAAACTGTAACTCCAGTTCCAAAGAATCTGATGCCTTTACAGCAATGCATATAAAAATAAATATAAATAAATTATAAGAAAAAATAACTTATGCAGAGAAACCCTGTTGGGGTGGGGGACGGGGAGATACTTGCCTCTCGTCTAAATTTTTAGTGCATTCTTCACACCTTCACCCAGTTAACTCTAACAGTTCAAAGTCCACAGAAGTCTTGGGCAAACCCTCCCTGTAATGTCCCCAACTAACATGCCAAGTTCCTCTATGACAAAATTCCACAAAGCTTTATCGCAGGACTTTGAGATGCTGCCTCCCTTACCTAAAGCCCGTCTCGGCAACCCTAACCATCATACTCCATCTTAAAATGCCCTCCTCCACAGTTTTTTTCTCAGCCAACTTCTGCCCTCTTGCAAGTGACCATTTCTTCTCTTAAAGGGTGCATCGCAGACCATCATGGCAGTTAATCGTTACAGAGTATCTGCATGCCCTACTCCTCACCTTAGACCACAGGACTTAGCACCTCTCACAGAAGTTTGAGTCTAGGAACTTCATCAGTGATTGGCACAATGCATCAGTACTTTTTAGGTCAGAACCCCCTTTCTGGCTTCAAGAACCTAGAGTAGCTACGTCTAGTACTACCACGTCTTCCCGCAATCCGGTTCTCTGTGTCATCCCCGAGATCACTCACATTGAAGAGAAGAGAAGGCACTGGTGTGAACCGCTCAACATGAATCATAGAGATGGCATCAGGGAGGTGGCCTTCTCTTGAGCCCACAAATAAAAGCCTGTTGAGGTAAAATAAGAGAGGCTGACCAAACCGTGGGACACATAGGGCAGCCTGGGTCACCTGTCACCTTAGCCTCCCTCCGCAGTTCCTTCAAAAGGAGTGCAGTACGGAGCTTAGAAGTGGAGGCTGCTAATGGTAACAAGAAGAAAGAGACTGGGGAACACTGGCCACTGAAATGCCAGCACTAACGTTTGACTGTCTCCACCAAAGCTTTTCCTGATACCCTCTCTGTCAGCAATGAATGACAGTCCTACCTAGAAGCAGCCACAATGGAAGCATTGAGGCCACCAAAGCAGGACAATGCAACTGCCACCGGAATTGTCCAGTTGAATATTCCGAAAATCCGATCCGCAAAGGTCTAAGAGAGAGGCATAGAAGTCATTAGCAGATCCTAAAGGGGATGGAAATCACGCACAGGCGCGTGCCCAAATCCACCATCAAGGGCCCAGCGCTCGCCACAGTGAAGGCAGCAGGCCTCCTTGCAAGCCCGCTATCCTAAATGTACTCCTATCAGGCTCTCTACTCCCTTTCCAGGACGGAAGCTGGAATATTCCAGAAGCCCGCAACACACCCTCATCATGCTAGTGAAAATC